CAAACAAAGCAAAAAGCACGTGAATTGACTTTTAGAGTAAAAAGAAAATATAAAAAACAAAGGATAAGGAATATGATCTAATGGAAGCCAAATGCTATATACACAAAATGGTTTGGGGAAAAGCCGCTGAGTGAATGGGATTGGCATGCCAGGTGGCATGCAACGATGTTTGAAAGTATATGTATGTACCTATTTGATAGTATTTCTTTCTATTAATCTTTTATGCCAAACGTCTGCAACTTTTTTGTTTGTGGAAATTTAGGTTCAATTATTAATTAAGACTGCGTTTATGAATCATCAACACCAATTATTAGTGAGTGGGGCGCTGCAATGCGGGCACAGAAGCGACAAAGGAAAAAAGTGAATGAATGAAATTGAATTGAAATACGTGGATTTGAGTAAGGGTGTAATTCGAGATGAAAGAACAAAAAATTTAGTAGACGATAGAAGAAGCAACAGCAAAATCTTCATCACTAAAAGTGTTCGTACACGATATGTATTTCCACCTGTAAATGTGACCGTTTCGATACTACCTATGTAATTGCATCTGTCTCTCAAGTTCACAGTTTTTTATTAACTGTTCAAAATTACGTTCTTTGGAAACGAAATAAAACAAGCACAGATGATTCTATCTGTATGTCAGATGAAAATAGAAACATTTATATTTCGTATGTACGTGCGCTTACACATATTTTCATATGTAAAAAGTGGCGTGTACACATGCAAATACATTTCGTGTAAGAACACTTTAAAGATTTATGAGACTTCAAATGTACTCGTCAACAGGGATGGAAAGGTAGGTACATTTGTACCTTTTTCCGACTTTTTCGAACCAAAAGGTACATTCGGTACACTGAGCTCAGCTTAGGTACAATCGGACGATAGCCAAATGAATATCCATATTTAAGACAACGTTGCTCGCGAAAAAAAATTTAAGAAAATGTTTGTAAGCAAAGAGAAATGGCAACTCTTTGCAAAGTGGCCAAGTTCCTTTATTAAATTCTTTGCAAACAACAAAAAAAACTTCTCACTTTTTGGGGGATTTCTAGCAAAGTGGCTACACTGCATGAGTGTCAATTTCAATTGTGAATGAGTTGAAAGTGCGGAAGAATATAATTAAGGGCGGAAATATCTGAAATCTGAATGTACTCGGGCGGGAATTTATTCTTGCAACGATGGATAAGTAAGCACACATTTGACTAACATTTTAGCTCAATTTCGGCTGCCCACGAAGTACCACGTACGGTTTTGTATCAAAGGCCTGGTTTACAAAATATACCCAAATGCTTTATGTACTCAGTGCAATCTATGCCAAATAGAAAGCCTCGAGAATCTCCTCTTCAAGTACCCAATTTATTATTTCTTTAGGGACTACTACCTCGGACCACTTCTACAATTTATTATTTACCAATTTACAGTTAGCATGGTGTACGTCTATGTTGTTAGCACTTTGCGATTCAGAGCCAACATATTAAATGAATAAATAGTGTAAAGTAATTTAATTTTCTTAAATAATTTTTTAAGTACTTTCACTTTCATTACCTATACTTTTGAATAATTATGTAATTCTCAAACATGTAAACTCAAATGCAACTATTAGAAAGACTGCTAAAAACATTCAGTTCGTAAGCAGGGTTAAATAAATGAATGGAAAATGAATGAATGAATGATACCAAAAAATATTATAGCCCTGTTTTTTTATATCAAAAAATATTTAGAGGTCGCTCAAAGCGCTCAAAGGTTTCCATGTATTTTATATGGGGGGAAAACAAGTTTTCGTTGAAATGGTATAGAATTCTTGAAAATCAATATTTTTTGATCGGAAAACGTTGCTCCTCTTTAAGAGACTACCAAAAATAATACCCAATTGTTAATTTTACTATTTCTGATAATAGCAATTTTTCATGCGCCCTTATTGCATTTTTTGAGGGTTTAGTAAATAATATAAAATAGTTAAATAAACAATTGGGTAATATTATTGAAAATCTCTAGAAGAGAAACAAAGTTTTTCGGTCGAAAAATATATAATCATATATATCGACCCGTAAATATTTTTTGATTTCCAAATAAAAACAATTTTTTCGGTATAGTACAATCCTAGAGGGTTAGCGCATTAAAATTCCGACCTTACTTTTATTTGGACCACCCCAATGTGCATACATATATATATCTTTATTAAATTTTTATGAACATTAATTCAACTGCATTGATATATTAATCACTTTCTTGTTAATGCAAATAATGTACAAATTAATTAAATTGTTACCAATTGTCTAAAAATAATAAAAAAAAGTTAACAAAATCGTGGGATACTTTTTAGGTACATTTGACAGCAAAAAGGTACCTTTCTATTGTCAAATTAGGTACAATTTGAAATTTCAATTTTCCATCCCTATTCATCAGTACTTTTAAATGAGTACAAACACAGAGGCGTGCTTCGAAGCTGAGTTTGTTTTTAGTGTTGGCACTTGAGAGGGGAGTAGGCAGAGGCTGAGATAGGGATAGATACAAAGATAGAGATCTACTACTATGAAAGTATCGCCGAGAGTGTGACGCACTTCAAGTTTATCATCAGTGAGAGTAAGTAGACACGTTTTTACTGATCAAGAATCTATCTGTTCGATTGTTTATTCATTGTAGGTACTAATAAACGAACATCTACATTTTTCAGCTGAGTCTTGTGTAAACAAAAATGATACATAAATCTATCTACTGTTTTTCGAATGCATATTGGGGTGGGGCAGATGTTGCTGAGGGTTTTTGGAAATTTAAAGGAGAAAAATATCATTTTGCGGTTTTGTACTTGACCATATGTATGTGCATTGAAATCGGTTGTATTTTTTGCTCAAAAATTAGTTATTTTTAAATATTTGTTGCAATTTCAATATTCAAATAGAAAAAAACAATGTATGAAATGAAAAAAAGTCAACAAAAAGATACTATTAAAAAGGCCTGAAGCTCAATGCAAAAACAAAAAAAAAATCGTTTTTAAAGGTAAAATTTAATAAAAAAAAAAATATTTATTTTGAAGAATTTCCAAAATTTTTATATATAAGTGCATTGATTAAAAATGTTTGTTAGACCCAAAAAAAAAACACAAAATAAAACGTTTTTAAAGGTAAAATTTATAAAAAATAAATGTCAGTAAAATAAAAAGTCAGTTGTATTTTTTGCTCAGAAATTATTGGGTTTTAAGTATTTGCTGCAATTTCAATATTCAGATAGAAGAAAAAAATTTATTAAATGAAAAAAATATCAACAAAAGGATGTTATTTAAATGACCGAAGCTCAATGCAATTTTGTTAATTGAAAATGTGCATTAGACCTCAAAAAAAAAAATATTGTTTTTAAAGGTAAAATTTAATAAAAAATATTTTGAAATGAATTAAAAAAATTAATAAAAAAGGAAAAAATTGGAAACTATAAAAGATGAGATTTTAATAAATTATTCAATATCTATTTACTTAAAGCAAACCGTGTTTTTTTTATATCCGAGCGCACTTGTGCACAAGGGTATTATAGCTTTGTTCACATAACGGTTGTTTGTAACAGGCAAAACGAATCGAGATAGATATAGACAAATGTATACATAAATGATCAGAATGAAAAGAGAAATCGATTAAGCGGTGACTGTCTGTCCGTCCGTCTGTACCTCTGTGCACACGATAACTCGAGTAAAAATTGAGATATCTTAACGAAACCTGGTACGTGCACTTCTTTCTGGCGTAGGACGGATGGTATTGAAAATGGGCAAAATCGGACAATAACCACGCCTACCTCCCATATAACGGTAAGTTTCAGAAATACGAAAACTGCGATATTTCACTAACTACTAAAGAATATTCTCTCAAAATTGACATTTACAATAACTTTTAGACGAAAAATAAGAATATTATAAATTTTTGGAAAATGGGCGCAGCCACGCCACTTATGGTTACATGTGTATATCTTGCTAACCGCTGTACCAATATCTTCCAAACTTGGCACAGTTGTTAGCCTTGCTACAGCATACCAAATGGCTGAAAATTTTTAAAATCTGACAATAACCACACCCACATCCCAAATAACGGTAATTTAGAGAAATACAAAATCTTCGATAAATCAGTAAATATTAAAGCTAATTTATTCAAAATTGATGTTTGCAACAATTCTTTACCAAGAAATACGTTTATGATAAAATTTTGGAAAATGGGCGTGGCACCGCCCACTTATGATCACATATATGTATCTCGGTAACCGTTCTACCAATTTGTACCAAACTCGGTATGGTTATTGTGCTTGCCACATAGAAGCAAAACGTTGAAAATTATTGAAATCGGACTAAAATTAAGGCCGTTTTTCATATAACGGTAAATTTCCGAAATGCTTGAAACTTCAATAGTTCGAAATTTAAGGACGCTAATTTATTCAAAATTGATATACCCCGGCTTACCATGTAGCGGTAACTTTCGGAAAGATGAAAATCATATATTTAATACTTGTGCCGGGTATTTAATGCTCGGCTCCGCCCGAACTTAAACTTTCTTACTTGTTTTTTATTTTTTTTTATAAGAAAATAAATAACTAAAAAAAGTTAAAATGACAAAGCTTTAAATTAAATACTTACAAAAAAAAGATCAAAATTGAAACTACCTATTTACAACGGTAAAAATTTCTTTACAGAAAATTAAAAAAAATTAAATTTTTTAAATAATTTTTATGCATTCATAATTTTTTCCTTTTTCCAAGTGGCCAACTTAACCTCCTCTTCGTACAATTTGCATGCACTTATTAATCAGCTTATTACAAAAACCAATTTATTTTATTGTTGAATTTCTCATATTCCCTTCGCACAGATACAGTGTAAAACAGGTTTTTTTTTTCACTGACTACCGCCTAAAGAAATCATTATATAATGCATTAGCAACTTGTTAAGTTTATGCAATTTATTAGTAAATTCACAACTACATAAAAAATGATTTGTTAAAATAAAAATGTTTATAAAAAAATTAGTTACACACATTTTAGATGTTTTTAAAACGTCGGTGCGAGAACAGCTTAGACAGAATCAATGTGTTTGTGTTGTTATTACTGTTGTTGTACAAGTGCGCTATAATTAGCGTGACTGTGACTGGCGACTTGCAAGCTGTTGTTGTACTGGTTAGTCAACGAGTTTTAGTTAGTTAACTGAATACAGAATTTGTTGAGATTTCTTTTATTTGCAAATCATGGCACTTTATTTTATTGAAATTTAATATTTTTATATTTCACTATATGCATTTTAGTTTTCTTTGCGCGCGCACTGCATTTCTGTCTACGTCAGCGTTTTTTTAGTTTCGGCTTCTCGTTTTTTTTTTCTTCTCACGCCCTCTACTTTACACTTTTTGTTGCTTTCCAAACAAACTCCTTTACATGTTGTATGTGTTTGTGCACTTATGTATACATATGTACATATGTATGTTTGCATTTACAGTTTTTTTGTCTTCAAACCAAACTCAACACTTATCCGTTTTTTACACTTTACACCGTTAATAGCTTCGCTTGTGCGCCTACCCTACCAGCGTACTGTCCAATTCCAATTGCGAATACCGAATGCCAATGGCCTGCTTCAAATACTGGCGTCCAAGCAGCAGTCGCTTTAAAGGCGTCAAGCAAGTTGCCAGCTCTCATCGGGCTAGTGAGCGCTTAGTAAACAACTAGCTATTCGAATTCGAAGTTTTTTTTCGAAATTGAAGAAATAAATACATTTTTTGCTCTCCCTCTCTCTCTAATACACACGCCCTTTTCGAATGTTATGTCAAATTCGAAATCGACTTTGATATCGAATACGAAATTTCGCTTAAGTATGATATGCTAAGTCATGGCCAGAGAACTTATAACATGAGGCCAGTATTAGACCAGGTTTGCGACTATAATAGCGCTGGTGTCAGACGCTAGTTCACATTTTGCTCTACTGTAGTACAGTTGTCGTCTGCACTTCGCTTCGTTTTACATTCGAATTCGATTTTGAATTAGTCTAATAAAAGCTCAGTTAATAATCAATTATAATTAGTAATCAATGATTACTCAACACGTCAACTTAAGCCAAGCGCGGAACTATTTTATTTTTGTATTTTCTTTTTCAGCTGTCAAACAGTTCGCCGACTAAAATGCCACATCAAAGAAATTCATGCAAACAAAAATGTTTGCGTTCATTTATTTTTAAGATATACAAAACCGAGAGTCTGACAAGCCTTATGCTATTACCGCTATCAATTTCCCTGAGGCCGTAACTTAAGAACCTAAAATCTACAGGTTATTAAGTTTCTTACAGTAAGTTAAGTTTTAACTAACCGCCAACACAGTTTCTTATATAACAGGTTGGCCCAAATATTAAGTTGAATTAAGTTATGGAAATTAAGTCTAGACTAACTGAGCTTTAACATTTCCACTCTCCTTTGAAAATATGTAGCATCATCTTTTGTACCCAACTTGACTTCTTTTTTATCATATTTTATTTATTTTTTATTAATTATTCACTATTTAACTTTTCTTTTGCAATCTATGTAAATAGTTGTCAAACTTTATGGAGTACACTGTAAAAATTTAAGAGTGGAAAAACCACACCTGTAGTAGTTACGAGTTTTTTCATGCCTGCCCAGCAGTACGGGTGAATCAGTAGCTACCTGATAAACTCCGTCAGTTACCGACCGACAACTGGCAGTGTATTTCAGCTATTACTTTTATACGATGTTTCCACGCTTCGTAATTCGTACTCTTAGTAATTCGCTAAGTAATTCGTGAATTACCCTGTTTCCACAACACACATTAGTAATTCGTTTGGCAGCTCTAGTTCTTGTTATTGTTCTTCGCTATTTATTGTTATTTTTGTGTACTGCAAATATCGAAGATGGAGCTAAAATTTAAGTTATCATCAACAATTTTAATTTATATAGAGAAAATTTTATTAATATTATTCTATAACTAGAAAAAGTGCCAGCAAACGGGACCAGACCGGTGAAAACTTCGATATATTTCCGATAAATATTAGAGAAGTCACCGATTCGTTCGTTATTCGCATGGTAATTCGATCTGAATTACCTACAAATGAGGTAATACGCTCTCAAAATTTTGTATGGCGAATTACGTAATTCGGAAGGTAATTGGCAAGGCGAATGACGAATGGGAGAGCGAATTACGAAACGTGGAAACGCCGTATTACAAGGCTATGTGTCCTAGGCGGTAGTCACCATCGGCTCTCTCTGCACTACTGGGAGTTACTAAAGTAGTCACTTGCGTGATTTACTGCCATACCTAAACAAAAGCGTTGGGCGGAGCGGTTTCTGACGCCAGCGTTAGCACCGAAGGGCCGTACCTAAACAAAAGCGTCAACGCTACGTCAAATGCTGAAATAACACCAACAATAAGCATAGGTTTGTTTGTGTGTAACATGAAAATGACAGTTTCGCCCTTTTCTGCAGCCAAATTCAATACCTAATGACCTGTCAAAATCGAATTTTCCAACCGCTCAGCTTTGACGCCGCGTTGTTTCGGTATGCTTCATACAAATTCTATGGGCATGAGAATTTTTTGACAGCCAGACAACGTTGACGCTTTCGTTTAGGTATGGCAGTTATGGGCGCCCTCTGTCGTAGTTTTTCGCTATTCTGCTTCCGACTATGCTATGAACGCAGGCGTGAAAAAACTCGTAACTTCTACAGTTTTGGTTTTTCCATTACTAAATTTTTATAGTGTACTCCATAAAGTTCGACAACTGTTTAGATTGCAAAAAAAAGAAAATAAATAATGAATACTTAATAAAAAAAAATAATAAATTATAAAAAAATACAAAAAATTCAATTTTTTAATGCAAAAATTTATTTTTTTAAATCTATCTCACATTTTTATACAAAGCCGATGTAATTACGCACATTTTGCTTACTTAACTTTTCTCCGACAAACAATTTATTAACTACAAAAAATTTAAAATTATTTATGAATTCAAAATTTCGGAAATTTTTTTCGATAAAGAATGTAAAAAAAACACACCAAAAAACATATGGAGGAGTAAATATCCCAGTGGGAAAATGTAATGTATTCCCAGTGGGAAAATGTAATGTATAGTGATCAAAAAAATAATTAGTAAAACAACCCTTTTCACATTCGAAAATGCCGAATGACCCATAAATGGAGTGATAACGCAGTACACAATTTTGCATTTTCTCGATTCAGTTCGCGAACATCATTTCCTTTTTTAGTAACAAGATAAACAACTTATCGTTGTAGAAGATTTGCACTTTTTGAATAGTTTATTTAAATGATATATTATTTAAACTGAAAACAGGTGACTTAGTGCGTAAAAGTTTTCTGTTTACAACTTTAAAATGCTTAACAATATTAACCTTCCGCCATCGGAATATGATGTACCCCTAATTTTCGACGCAATTGTACGATATATTCCAGTGTTTTGTATAGTGCTCGAAAAAATTACAGCCGCACCACATATTGACAAGTTTTAACTAATTATTTTTTTAATGTTATTAAACTTTAGTTATTTTTTATAAAAATATAGTTCATTCTTTAACATAACCCGTGCAAATCAAAGTTTTAAACTCTGTGTAATATGTATTAAAAAATATATATATTCATGTCGAGCTTTTTAATTAGATTTCTTAGAAATATTTCGAGTATGCAGTTTTATAACCCATTGGATTCAAGTACAATATAGTGCAAGTTTTAAATGGCTTAAAATTACCTTTGGTTTTTTCAAATTTCTTTTATTGAAGATGTTATGGTTTTCTTCCATATAAAAATAAATTGTGGACGAAAAATTCTAAAAAACCTACTGTAATTTTTAGCCATTAGCCAAATAGCTAAAAATATGTTTCTTCAAAAATAGCTAAATAAATTAAAAAATTTGATTATTATACCGCAAACATATATGAACCCAAATGTTTACATACATTGAATTGGAGTAGTAAAATACCTTATAATTGTGACTAGTAAATACTATTAAAATTTTAGCTCAAATCTGCAAATCTATTCCTAAAATATAAATATATCCTTGATTTGCTTTATATTTCGAAGAACCAGTGAAGATGTTACAATATTTAAGGGAAAACGTTGTGAACAAAACCAAAAAAAAATATGTACCTAATATACACTCGCCTACATCTTCGAATTTGGTCCCGCTAACATTATAAAATTAAAAAAATTAAATTAACTAAAAGGGCATTTTTAATAGCTATTCGTCCTCGTAAACCAAAAAAAAAAAAATGTATATCCTCCGAACTTTCTCTTTCATTTGGTACCGATATTTTTATTCTACATTGCACTAATTTTTTTTAAATAATTTTTTGAAGTAATCATATCTTTGAAATTACAAGGTCCTTTAAAAATCCTGACGTAAGAGAGAAAAACTACAATCGCAGTTTTACTACAGCTTTGTAAGTATATTGATTGCTTCGTGTGTTTGAAGATTTTTTTTGTTTTTTTCGCACGGTGTAATCTGTTATATCAATTAGGGATTAGGCATGCCAGATACCATTTTTTGAACTGATTGATAAAACTCTGTGTAAAAATGGGGAGATTATAAAAAAATTTTAGCAAAAATAGCTAACTCGATTTAATAAAAGCTTCAAAAGTAGTTAATAGCTAAACGCAAATTTCTATAGCTAACCTTCGAAAATAATAGCTAAGTCCAGCTTCAAAATAGCTGGAAACACTGGTCACTCTGCACGGTTGCAATTTCTTTAAGATTCACACGGTTGCATGAAGCAATTATGTGACGTATCAAACCCGTATATTTATTTAATGTACATAATTTATACATATAATTTTTATAAAACTATATCTGTGTTCATAAGCAATAACCTCCTGAAAAGCTGAATTCGAGAAAAAACGTTTTAAGAATTTGGATTGTAATGTTAGCCTTATAAATATGTTCGTCTATAACTTTTTAAATAGCCTAGCTGTCGAGATGGGGATTTCCCATACACATGGAATAGTAGCTTATGACCACAGATATATTACTTTAACGAATCAAAATTTTTAAATTATATTAATTTTACTCACATATTTTTTTTTTGATTTCTTTAATAATTTTTTTTTTGAAGCTGTCGTTAAAAATTCCTGCGAGCACCTTAACTCTTTTACACACCAGCCTCCTTTGGCCCCCAAAGGGTTAAGAAAAATCTGTAAAAATTTAATATTTCATCGTATACTTTTTATTTCTAATATTAACAATTTTCAATACATATATTTTTTTCTTTGCAATTTTATAAAATATTTTTCTAAACATTTAGAGTTCATCTGGCTTTGTTTGCTATTTAAGTTTGATATTTTTACAATTAAAAACTATTCACTTTTATAAGTATGTATACACATTTTAAGATTTCTTCAAGTTTATTTTATTTTTTTTTGGATAAATATTGCAACATTTTCTTAATGAAAAATTAATAAATATATATTTTTAAAATTAAAACAGTCTTTCGTTACGCAACAATGCTCACAATTGTAACTAATAAAGTATATGTGTGTGTGTGTGGGTGTGTGTAATATTTTTCAATTATTTACAACCTTCGCTAAAGTGTATTGGTAAAATAGTATTTTTCTTAGATATTTTTTTTTTTAAATTTTTCTTTAGTAATTTACAATTAATTCACAAAGCTACACAGTGTCGGGCCGGCTCAGAACCAGTGTGACTCACTCAAATCAAATACCGCGGTGTTTGTAGTTGGCAGTATGTGTGTGAACGGTCGCTCACTCAATAGACGCGGTCTCGCATAATTAAGGTTAGTGGCGTTTTAGGCGCAAGCAAAAATTCAAATTCTGTTTGCAGTGGCTCTTTAAATTTGATGTCGAAAGCGAGTATCAGCTGCAAATGAGAATAAGATAAAAATTAATGAAATATAATTGTTATTAGTCCAAAAATAACATAAAATAAAAATAAATTAAAAGGTAAAAAAGAGTATAGAATATGTATGTTTTTTAGGGGAAACTGTTATTTTATTCTACTAGATTTCAATGGGCTACAAAACTGCATATTCAGAATGTAATTAAAAAAATCGAAATTTTTACGATAATTTGTTGAATATTTTTTTTTAAATTGCATAAATTTTTAAGGCAGTGTCACACGATTGGTACATTTGTACAGATTTGCTCCTATTATATTGGACTATTGGAACATAATAAAACAAGTAATTTTTAGCAAAAAAAAACCGACTTAAAAAAAATATATATGTATCTATATATTTCATGATCCAATGATCGGATCTAAACCATTATTAGTATGGGACCACCTCTGGGACACTACCTTTCCAAAAAGAATTATTGAAATCGGTTGACGTGGTGCAAAGTTATGCGGTAACATACATAAAAAAAAAAAAAAAAAAAAAAAAAAATATTCCGACGAACTGATAACCTCCTCCTTTTTTGGAAGTCGGTTAAAAATTGGGATTTTTTTTGTAGATAAAAGGTTGGTAGACTCAGGGTTGGAAAAAACATGTTTTTTGTTTTAGATTTAAAAAACAAAAACTTCGCGTTTTATTCAAAAAAAAAAAAGATGTTTTGAACAAATTTTTGGCAAATTAGCAATTTTGGAACTTTTAATAATTCAATACTTACTTACAACTTACAACCAAAATAGGGCAAGAATTTCAAAATTTCAACCCTGTTTGTGTGAAATATTTTTTTTTATCAGTATTTTTCTTTTAATCAATCTATGTTGAAATATAAGTGAAAATAAAAAAATATTTTGTCAGAAAATTGGGCAAAAAGTCGATTGAATGTGCGTAAAAGAAAAACAGTTGTGAAGCAGCTTATAAATGAACAAACGCTCTAGGCTTTCTACACAGTTGTTTTTAATGATCTGCACACTTGTATGTACATATGTACATACAGTGATTCTAACAAATGACCACGTGTTGTTTTTTTTTTAAATAGTCGTAATGTTTATTGTCATTTTTCTATAAAAATACTGTCCAAGTTTTAATTAAAAACATGTAAATCACAGTTCCAAACTTTGCACAAAATTAAAGAAAATTCAACAAATTTTCATAAAAATTTCAACTTTTTAATCTGAATCTTTAGAACATTTTTGGGTACGCAGTGAAAATGATACAGGTAAAACGCAAATTTTTAAACGAAATTGTGAAATAAAATTTTTTGGTACAATTTTACACGTCATACAAAATTACAAATACAGTATTGGTATTTACGACTTTAAAACGAAACATTCGCAAAACAAAAACGATCGTTATAATATACTTACTTTTTTTTACTAAGGAGAACAAACGACATTAAAGAAATAACGCCAAAAATGCGTATTTTCAAAACTAAAATGAAACATTTCAGAATATTGTCCCAACGAGTTGTAGTGCGACACAATTTTCAACGAGTAAAATAAAACTAGACATTTTTTAAATAAAAAATTTAATTTATTTTCAGTCAATTAAGTATGAAAACTATATAAAACTAAAATGTTTTGCATTAGAATTTAAAAAGCGACCTAGCTATAATGAAAAACATTCCATATGTTTGCGTAATTTGTCTAAAAAATTGTGATCAGATAAATAAGTTACTTCAATCCTAAGAAAAGGCGATGAAGTATATACAAATAATACTGCCATTCTAACCACTTAACTACATACATATAAGGGACATTAGTGATACGGTGGACTTCTTTGACCGAAAAAAGCTATGGTAAGAGTAACTTACAAAAACAAATTTTTATGGGTTAGTAAATAATAATTTAAAACTTTCTTATTTTAAATTATTAGCTTTGACCAGCGTGAAGCAAAATTAGCAGGCCCAGCTTGGAAGTTAGACAGGAAAATCTGTTCAAATTAATTTCAAACCAAAACCTCGTTAAACCTTTTCCGTCTGGCACTTGTTTTGTGATACATATTTAAATTATCTAATACTCTTAATTAAAATTGAATTTAATTATAAAATGAGGTGGCAACCCTCAAACATACAGTTTGGAAATAAAGTTTCTTCAAAGCAAATTTCATTTATATTCATATTGAAGTAATTAATTTAACCTATTGCTTATATTGAATCTAACTTTGTAACAAGTTGGTAACCCTCTGCAAAATATTTTCAAACCACAACCTCTTCCGTCTGACATCCATATCAGGATATACATTTCAATTTTCTGGCTTTATTTAAGGCGGACTTGCTTTTTGAAACAGGTGGCAACCCTCCTATATACAATTAAGAAATAAAGCCTTTTCAAAACCATTTCGATTGATACTCATAGTGTAATAATTGTTTTAACTTAAAAATAATTTTAATTATATTTTTTGATCAGGTGGCAACTCTTTTTGAGAAAAAGAAGTTATTGCACATCCACAGGCCAAGCCCTTTAATTTGATACCTCATTTTGTAAAATCGAACGAACGGTACAGATCTGATGATACAAAAACAAATTCATTCGAGTGGGTTTCGAGAATTTTGGTAATAAAAAAAATTTGCTAATTTTTTCAACAATTAGCCTTAAAATGCTCGATATGGGTTAAATTTATATACAATTTTTAGGTACACGTTAATATTTCTACTGCTCCAAAGAACCTATATCGCGAAAATGAAAGTTATATATGCAAATCATCAGTTGCTAGAACACTTTAAAGGCTCAAATTTTACCCCAAAATAAGCCAATATTTACCGTTGATTCTAGGAAAGGCACCGAATCGGTTACTTATAGGAATATATCTATTGACAGGTTTGGAATTTTGTCTTTGAAACGCCACACCTTTCTTTGAAATCGTTTCACTAGTTCTCGTGCAATAAGCGTTTTCGCTCTCTATAAATTACAACTACAACATTTGAGCATAGCCTCCATATCGAAACGTAAGACGTATTCTACGTAAAAAAAATATGATCGCAAAAATTTCTTTTGCTTTTTCCTACTTAATTTAAAAAAATTATAAAAATAAAATTTGAATACTCTTGTGCAGTAAAGGGTCAGTAATATGTAGCTTTACCTTAGCCAATAGCAGCATCACTTCCATTTCGACAAACCGTTTGCCCGGACATGTACGCTTCCCGATACCAAAGGGCACTACAATACACGCATTCGGTACATTAACCGTAAAGTGAGCCTCCTCATCTAGCCAACGTTCAGGCCGATATTCTTTGGCATTTGGAAAATTGGCATCATTGTTGCAGGCAATCATATTTTGGCAAAGCACCACCGTCTGGAATGCAACAAAAAATCAATAAAAATTTTACACAATCTGGCAAATGTCTGACACAACTTACGCCCGCTTTGAGATGATAGCCCGACAGCTCCATATTCTCCTCGAGTATGCGCGCCAAGCAGAACGCTGTCGGCCTAATGCGATACGACTCCTGCACGCATGCTTTGGTGTAGTCCGCCTTGGCAATGGCCTCCTTCGTTATAGTCGTTTTACGATATTCACGGAAATCGTCCAGTATGCGCGTAATTACCCGCTCATCGCTGGTCACTGAGCTGAGTACAAAGAGCACCGTATTGGCAAGCTGTTGGAGACCAAACAAATAATTTTTTTTTTTTAAATAATTTCCACGCCGTTCATTATAAGCGTCCACCGACCGTTTCAATGCCCGCCGCTATGAAGTCGACAATCGCCGATTTCTTATCACGTATATCTAGATCCTTCAGCTCCAGTATATTCAAGAATATACTACGCAAAGCCGCCTCGCTCTCATCGCTCGCCGAGGTGAGGTAGTCCTCTTGTAGTGCCATTTCAACCATCTCGGAAATAACACTGTAATCAGTTGCAACTCTTTAACTGTCACTTGCTCAGTTGCGAGTATTTCCCGCCACCACCACTCAACACTTACTCATAGATCACCTCCTCGGCGCGCACAAAATCTCGATATGTTTTCGTTGGCAGATACTTCCACAATCCCATGCCGTAGTAGGAGTCGCGTTGTGATATGAACAGCTGCTTCACCGCGCACGCCAGCTGGCTGATACGCCCCGGCTGCTCGCCACTTTTGTCCAGGAAACCCATGCGTCGGCCGAGCATGAGCGTACAAACCGCTTCCAGGCCCATTAGATTGGCAATGTCTTCAAAGTTATATACTTCAAGCGTTTGTGGATTGCGTTGATGCCGCAACAGTTCAATGAAGTCATCGCAGACGACATTCAGCACAGGCAGGAAGTTGTAGAGTACGCGGGGCGATGTTATGTAAGAGGTGAGCGAAGAGCGTAACTTCTGCCAAGTGGGGCCCTGCCTGAAAAAAGGCGATGATTGTACAGAAGGTATGTAGTTTATGTTATGACTAAATGGGCACATTTTTAGTGGTGGAGTGCAAATAATGGAAAATACTATTTTGACTCAAAGCGAAAAATTATAATTTTCGGTGATAAGAGCGAATTGTAGTAAAATTTGCTAGACTGACTTAAGAAATTTTTTAAAAGCGGATACTATTTAGTTCTTTTCTATTAACTCACAAACACATTTACTTACATAGATACATACAATACATACCTATAATACTTACTCATTCACAATGCCCAAACTGGAATATCGATCAGGTCGCGATAATCGATACATAACGACAATTTCAGTGGGCGGCCGGAAGGGGTAACGGCTTGGATATTTCAGCACCTTTTCCAGGTCAGTGCGTTCGAACAAATGCACTATGGGTACGCCAGAGGTCGTCACTTCCAAAGCGATTTGCCCATATTTGCGGTGCCAATCTGTGGAGGAGTAGCAAAATCACATCACAATATTGAACAAAAATTTAGTTATTTCTTCACTTCCCACTCACCCGTATACATTTCATGCATCAGCGACATTTTATACTTGCGAAAGAATACCCAAAATACCCATTTCGTGCCAAGGAAGGGTATTGGCAGCGGCCCTGGTATATCCCAGACTCCGCGTGGTCGTGGAATTTCCTTTGCATGATAATAATCATCTGATGCTATCGTCGAACTGATGGCGGCGACTAGCTTAGCATTTCGTCCGGCGCGGCAGCGTGTTAGCAGCGGCTTCAAATAGGCGGTGGCTGCTTTGCCCAAATCGAAGTTGCAATAGAAAGCCAAAAGTATAGCGATTGCGATCAATAGAATCACGGCCATAACCATGGGAGTGCGCTGCGAATATAAAATAACAAAAACAAATATTTACATTAGATGTGTACGTACTTCACTGTGTGTGACTTAAAGTATTTGCAAAGTTTCGTGTGATTTTAAGTCAGTCAGTCAGCAGGTAAGTGGTTGTGCAACTGATCTACTTAAAACCCACTGTGGCCCACATAACAAATTCGACATACATAGATATATGTATATATACATACTTGTAGATCGATATGTGTATATTTTGTGCTAAATCACTGACAGATATTTAACTGCTTTTTTAGCCCCAAACAATTTCAAGATCTGTTTTTTTCTGCGTGATTGCAGTTGGCGTCACGAGACGTTGAGTTATGCAAATTTGCCTAAAATGTCAGGTTGCTCACGGTGCTAATTTTTTTTAGAAACGTTTATATATATATATATATATGGATTTGTGCACAAATAGAGCCATTTAAAAATATCGAACCTCATTTTAAGCTCTGCAATTAAACACCCACCTTACCCCTCATTGACTGGCGTCTCACCGGCTAAGTAGTGCCCACCTTCCATTGACTTTTCTGAGATTAGCCTACAGTAAGTATGTCTGGCTGGCCTCCGCACGGTATGTTTGTAAGGCAGTCCGATAATTTGATTGCCTACCTTTATGTATGCCTAACCGGTATTTGTAGCAAAATTTTCATTTCAGTTATTCTTGTTGTTGGCATGTATAAAAATAATTGTCACTATTAAATGTGGCCGATGTATGTATAACTACCAACCATTTTCTTGAATCAAATTTTTAATATAAACGATCTACATATACATACATTAGGGCGGAGTAATTTAATTTCGAAAAAAATTTTATGGCATATTCGAATTATACGTTCGATTCTAAGCAAAAATGGCGAACAAACTATATACCAAAAATGACGTTTGACCCGCCCAATTAAAAAAAAAAAAATCAGTGTATTATAATTTTTTGTGAATGAAATTATTTTTTCATTTAAAAAATGTTGTGCTTCTTCTTTTGAAAATCGGGAGGGTCAAACATAGTTTTTGGTATATAGTTTGTTAGCCGTTTTTGCTAAGAATTAATCGTACAATTTCAATTTGCTATGCACTTTCTTCGAAAATTTTGCTCCAAACAAATTACTCCGCCCTAATATACATACATAAACATATCGGTAATTTAATATAGGAAGGCCCTATCCAAATTGTATTGTTTTTACAGAGTAGATACAAAACTTTATAAAAACCTAATTCCTGAGGGTGGGAACTTCCTGAGAATCCTTGGTGTTAATAGATTAAATAGATAGATTAAATTTTACTAGGCCTTTAATAATTAACTAGGTGTTCCAGTTACTGTTGAAATTCGATTTTTTTTTTTATTTTTTTAAGATCCTTGGAGGGGTTTTCTAGCTTTGCACTTCGCTTAACTTATAAGATACAAAATTATTCACTCGAAAAGCTCCTGCTTTGTAACTAAAACGCAACTACAATTTTTTATATCTTGAAGGTCTTTGTCGGTAAATCTCAATAATTTGGTATATATCGATAATTTACTGAATTTAAAAAACACTGAAATCTGATAACTCAACCAAACTCGATAACTTCACTAATTTCGATAACTGTTCGGTAAATTTCGATAACTCAAAAATGTATATATATCGATGTAATCGGTAAACTTCAATAACTCGGTTAATTTCGATAGCTCCATATTTTTCGAAAGGTTTCATCAAATTCGTTGCACTCTGGTAACGCGATAATATTCGATAAGCAGCGATAACTCGATAAACTTGTATAACCTTGAAATTTCGATAACCCGATATATTTTGAAAATTTTATAAACTTCGATTCGATAAATCGACAAATATCAGTAAATCAATAAATATCATAAACTCGATAAGTTTAAAGAACTCGATAGTTACGATAACTCGGTAAATTTCGTTAACTTGACAAATTTCGATAATCCCATACATTTTTTTTAGCTAGATAACTATCCGTAAATTTCGAAAACTTATTTTCTGTGTCTATAAATTTCTCTTCTTCTTCTGCTTATTTATTGGCGCAGTAACGCCTAAGCGATTTTGGCCGAGTCCAATACAGCACGCTAGTCATTTCTCTTCTGTGCTAACTGACGCCAATTGGAAATGCCAAGTGAAGCCAAGTCCTTCTCCACCTTGAAAAAATCATTTTGGCTTGTTTATTCTGGATTTTTAGATCGGTTAGAAATAAACCGAATTGACTGCAGATTCGGAAACAAGTATTCAAAACCAGTACAAAATTACTGAAGTTTTTTTTGCATCTTTGTGCAAACCCCATCAAATGCGGATCACTTATGGTCGCTGTATCCATATATGAAGTAGAGATGCAGTTTTTAAATCGATTAAAGCGAAGATCGATTAAACGAGCCCTACCGATTCGATTTTTTATCGATTTTTAGTTCCAATTCGATCCGTGGATCGATTCAAGAACCGACATTCTATTTGTCTTCAATTGATGCATATTGATCTACGGTTTAACTAAGAAAATCCCGAAAATTTTAAGGAAATTTGAATTGGAGGGTGGTACAAAAAAATAATGGGGCTTGACACCTCCCACTTTTCTAACTTCAGAGCGCAAAGACCAAAGATTTCAATGACCTTCCTCTCTTTCTCCTCCGACTAAAGGGCTACTCATGGAAATCTCTTGGAAATAACTCTATATCAAATTATGGCTAATACTCTAACAAAAACCTCAAAAAAAAAATTTAAAAGCGTCCGTAAAAAATTCTACATATATATGTATATTAGACTGCATCACCAAAAAAAGTTGCCGTTTTTCCGCCGGGGTTACAAAATTTGTTACATTTGAAGACGTCCACAAAAATATTTCGGAAAAATATTAAGATTTAAGTGAGCTGCACCGATTTGAAAACACCTCCAAAAATGGATTTTTTTTTTGAATAAAAATAGTTTATTAAAGAACTTTTTGAAAAAATTCCCTCAAATGACAAAACGTTTTAAGCTTAAAAAATCTGCATAAAAATATTTAAAAATGGTTTTCAACGGAATCGTAATAATGAGATTTTTGATTTTTTTTTTTAACTTTTCTCAAAGATTGGTTTACGAAAAACTTGAATAACTGAGCCAAAACAATTCTGATTTAGATTCAGTAGAAAGGTATTTTCCCACTCTTATTTTTGTGCAAAAAAAGTCATTGATGTCGAATTTTTTTTTTTCAAGTGACGTTCGTTCATCCTACCTTTCTCTTTCATCCTTTAAATGAGTTTATTAGCAAAGAAATTAAAAGGATGAGAAAATGCCTTTCCAATGATACCTCATAAGTCTAAATCGGAAAAGCTTAGGTTAAGTTATTCAAGTTTTTCTTAAACCAATCTTTGAAAAAAGTTAAAAAACAGCATTAAAAATCTCATTATTAAGATTCCGTTGAAAGTTTTTTTAAATTTTTTTTTGTTATTTTTATTTAAATTTTTTATGCATAAACTGTTTTGTCATCTAAGGTGATTTTTTGCAAAAAAATACTTAAACAAATTTTTTTTATTCACAAAACCTTAATTTTTGGAAGTATTTTTAAATCGGTCAAGCTCACGTAAATCTTAATATTTTTCCGAAATAGTCCGAGTTTTTTTTTGTATAGGGAGTGATGCAGTCTAATGTATATACGTAAGGTCCATTGTATTATAAACTTTGTAAAACAGTGGTTAATTTCGAAGTAAAACATACATTTTTTCACATTTCTGATCAAAAATAAATAAACAATGGTATCTCAGAGGTAGTTCCAAACTAAAATTACTTGTTCTTTTCAAAGTATCTACGAATTGTTAGCTACTTGATAGCTTTTGAATAAATCTGGATATTAAACCGTTATGAAAAATGTATGTATGCTTTAAAAATTACAATAATAGTTTGGTCAGATTACCGTGTTTTGTTTTTTTTGTAAAAATTATGTGAAAGACGTTATTTGACCAAATATATGAATCGATATTGAGAAAACGATTTATTTTTTTCCGATTTCAATTCGAATCGATTCAAAAATAGATTTTTTTATTTCTATCTGGTATCTCTAATATCAAATCAGAATTCAAATAGCTGCTCGTTTTTTCATTCCTACCTAACAAAAAAAAAAAAAACAAATATAGCAAAATAGGTAGTAAGTTTCTGAAGTCAGAACGAAGAAAGTGGTCAAATTTGAATTCTGTCTTCAGCTTCGGTTAGTCGCATTCATCAACTATAAAAAAAAAATAATAATTAAAAAAAGCCAAAGCCAAACCAATTTTTAGGACAATTTTTCCCAACGCTAAGCGCAAGGTTTTTGAAGCAGCCCTCGTAAAATAATGCAAATGTGTGTATAAAAGCTGACAGCCTAAAACCACAATTACCTTTAATTTGCAAAATTTTTTTGTGAAGTAAGCGTCGGAAAAGTGGCTTCCGCTAGTAGCTACAGGCGCATCGTATCCCAAATGTTGTATTAAATAGTGACTTTGTATGTTAAGGGCCGTTTTCTCGACTGTCTATTAAATTTAACTTTCCATTAAACACTTCGACTGCTTTATCGATCACATGCATATAACAGGCAGACATTCAACTAGTCGAGAGTTGTTAAACGGCCCTAAGAAATGTACATTTTTCTTGGATATCTCACACATTTACGTTTCATTCCTTACATTTATGCGATCCTTTTTACTAGAAATTGTCACTCCTAAGAGACCTTTTTGGGTCCACCATTATCCGAAGGGAACCCAAAAGTGGGACACTCATAGAACAATGTATTCACTAATCTCTACCGGGATGGACTGACCTTTTATTTAAGATAAGAGTCATCGTCGTTAAAACATTCTTATTTGGCACTACTAGGGCCAAGACTAAAAAGCTTCGCTTAACTATGCCCATTTATTAAAAAGCTCATACAGTTAGGCATTCCATATTTTTCGGTACTCGTAGTCCACGCGGACGGAGCCATCGATCTTGCGTAGAATAGTTTTCTCGAAAGCCCCCAAAACTGACATCCCTGGGTTTAAAGCCAACGATGTCAACGTC